CAGAGAGATGTGACCAGCAGCCAATAAGGCGGCAGAGAGATGTGACCAGCGGCCAGCAGGGCGGTGATGGAGAGATGTGACCAGCGGCCAGCAGGGCGGTGATGGAGAGATGTGACCAGCGGCCAGCAGGGCGGTGATGGAGAGATGTGACCAGCGGCCAGCAGGGCGGTGATGGAGAGATGTGACCAGCAGCCAGCAGGGCGGCGGTGGAGAGATGTGACCAGCAGCCAGCAGGGCAGTGATGGAGAGATGTGACCAGCAGCCAATAGGGCGGCAGCAGAGAGATGAGACCAGCGGCCAGCAGGGTGGCAGCTGAGAGCAATGAGCAGGCGGGTGGCGAGTGACCAGCAGCGGGAGTAAGTTGCTTTTTTCCCTCTCCCCCCAGGATGGGAGGTGAACTCTGTGGTCCCACCTCTGAACCCTGGGTCTGCCCTGAGCAAGGGCAGCGCCTGGGAGTGGAGGGCAGAGCAGAGTTGGGCAGGTGGAGGGTGCCTTCGATTGTGGAGGTAAGAACCCGAGGGGGAAGGTCCCCCTCCACCTGCGTGGGAGCTTTTCCTCCTGGTTTGTACGGACCCTGTTCGTGGCATTTGCCCAATGAATGCCACGGGACTTCCCTCCCTTTTAAGAAATGTCTCTTCCACACTCAGGAGACTCCGTGCTGGCGAGTGGGGAAGCGTCGCCCCTCTGAGGCAGTTCTGGGTTGGATGGATGGAGAGGAGCCCCTGGCAGAAGGATGACAGTCAAACGGGGAGTGCATCCACCTGACCCCACTCAAGGGGCTGAGCTGCAGGCTGTCACTGCCTGCTCTCCGCTGAGTAAGTCATGCTGGCGCCGGCGGAGCCTGTGGCAGGAAGCTCAGTCTCTGCACAGCGCAGAGGTGGGGACCAGGGTTACAGGATGCACTGTCTCACGCTCGGCCAGATGGGCCAGGCAGGGACTTAGCGGCCGGTGCTGGAGACACCCGAGAGCCGGCTGAGATCCCTCCACCCCCCACTGCAATGGCGAGGCTGGCAGGATTTCTCCTCCCATTGCTCTCAGCAGGTGAGTGCCCCGTGCTCTCGCAGCCCCTGGCGTGTGGGGCTACGGTGTGGGTGTGTCTGGGGAGCAGGGCCTGCTTTTCAAGGCTCCAGTCCAATGCAATCTGCAGTGCCTATTTGCTCCGCAGGGCCAACCAGCTCCAGGCCTGCCTGCCAGACAGGGCTCGGGGTGCCCCTCCTGGCTCCATCCTAACCAGTTTCCAAGGGGTCCGAAGCAGGAGGCAGGGAGCCCTCCGTGCTAGGGAGCGGCCATAGCAGAGATGCACCTTCCCGGAGGCAGGGAGTCATCACAGCCTGGCTTGGTGCCCACTGGGCCTTGCTACCATCTAGGCAGCCTCTAAGCAGATCTAAGTCCCACCCCCCAGACTCCCTAGCTTGGTCCAGCTAGGGCCCTGCTATCTCCCCGATCCTTGAGCATCTGCTGTACCGCTGCAGAGCCACGGGAAGGGCAGGAGACAGGCAAGGGAGAAGGGCCTGACCGTGAGGGACTTGGCTGCTGCAGCCTCCCTCTTTCCTTCCCCTGCAACAGCCGTTTTGTCTCAACTTTCCCCAGGGGATAATTTACAGCTCCCCTACCTGCCCCCACCCCCAACCTGCCTAGCAACCTTTCTCCTGCTCTGTCGCCCTTTTGTTCCTGTTGCCCTGGTCCCAGCTGTTGGAGCGAGACCCCGCCCTGCCCCTCCCCTCCTCCTGTTAACCAAAGCCGAGTAATTTGGGGGTCTTCTGAAAGGAAAGCCCCATTTCTTCTAGGGCTCCTGCAGACCCTACCGGGCTACACATGCTGGCGAAATCTCTCTGGGGTGCCCAGGATGGCAGAGCTGCCAATACCCCCAGCTCGTCCCATGCCAGTGTGGTGTTATTATGCAGGGCCGAGGGGCCCGCCAAGATCCGGGCCCACTGTGAGAAGGGAGAACAAACCCTGTTAAGCAGTTCCTGTTCCAAAGGATCTCAGGTGGAGAGGGGAATTAGCCTTCTTTGGGTTTCCATGTGAGGGTTTTTTCAGACATTTTGGGGGGAAAAATCGAGGGAGTTTCCACCACTATGGACAATTTGGGAACATTTCTCCCCTTCGGTCCTCAATTTGGGGGAAAAAATAGAGTTTCCTACATTTTTGCCTGCCCAATTCTTTCCCCTTTCCTAGCCTACAAGCAATGAAATATGCAGTGGAAATTGCAGTCGTGGGCTGCTTTACCCAGGGTGGCCCCGGTCCTGTGACAGTGGGCAGGTGGGCCTCAGGGCATCTGCAGCAACCAGCTGGAGTCAACGTTCCGGCGCTGTCACAGGATTGGGGCCACACTCTGTGTCTGCTCCGACCCTCATCAGTCATCCAGGGACTTAATATGATCATAGAATTACAGCGCACTAGAACTGGAAGGGACCTCGAGAGGTCATCAAGTCCAGTCCCCTGCCCTCCTGGCCGGACCAAGCTCTGTCTAGACCCTCCCTATTATGCGTTCAAATAGTCCCAGTGAGTTCTGTGAAGCTGCCTTCATGCAGAAAGTTAATTAGAGTCAGTGACGCGCTTGGGTAGCTGCCCAGGAGAGATTCAAATGCCACCCAGCTGATTAGGAGAGCACCCCAGTGCCCATAGCCAGCAGGGCGTGTTCCTACTGGTGGTGCACATCTGCACGTTCCTCGGTGCACCGAACAAAAGTGCATGGATGGAAAGAATTCGAGGGCACCTTGATTAGAATCATTGTGCCGGGAATCCTCGGAGCCTCTAGCTACAGACTCGGACCCCATAGTGCTTGGCACGGCACAAATACACAACAAAAAGTAGGGTGCAAGCACAAGGCTTTGCAGAATCGGGGCCTTTCTCAGTTGCTGCATCTGGGGCAGGGACGCCTGGGGATGTTTAGGGGTTTTGCAAAACTGCTGCTCCTCTTTTGTAGGGTTTTATACAATTTAACCCTCCCCTCCTGACAAATTCATTTCTAACTAGCCTTAGTCCCAGACTAAGCAACTAATCCCAGGTTGGATTCTGCCCTCTGTGACACCTGAGCTTGAGCCAGCGTAACACATGGTGCCGAGCCCAGAACTTACCCCTGCTCTGCTTCTGGGCATGAGACACACAGGATCAGGCTTTCAGACCACTGGTGCCTGGGCGGATGCACCGGCAGGGCCTGTTCTTTGGGGACAGGACGGGGGCAGCTGCTCCGTTCTGGCAAAAAGGCAGCACTGGAATGGCTGGTTGTCAGGCATGAAGCTGTCCTGACAGTGTCCCGATGGTGGCAAGCAGGTGGGACCTCAGAACTGATGCCGTTAAGGGAAGGAGTTCAGTCCAACGGTGCTGTTACCTAGTGGTTAGAGCAGGAGGCAACGTGTCAAGACTCCTGGGTTCCATGCCTGGTACTGGGAGTGAGACCGTAGTGATTAGGACGGCATGGGGGAGGACTGGGAGTCAGGACTCCAGGGCTTTGCACCAGCTGGGTCTAGCATAAGTCATTCCTGGCTTTGTGCCTCAGTTTCTCTGTCTGTCAAATGAGGGTGGTATAACCCACCTTTGGGACGTGCTTTGAGATCTCTACGTGGCTGTTGTTGGAGGGGTTTCTATCTCCTGTCCCTTCCCCCCCCTCAGCCTCCCTTCTTGGAGCCACGGAGAAAAACGAGTCCCTGCAGGTAAAGCAGGATCCTCCCCAGATCCAGGCCTGGCCAGGGGACTCGGTGGAGCTGCCCTGCCAGATCCTCACGGCGAAGCCCTGGGCTCGGCTCCGAGTTGAGTGGCAGCAGGACAATGACTTGAAGACTCTCTGTTGGGTGCTGCTGTACAACGGCAGCGCCTCCAATTGCTGCAGGGGTCCGGGGGGCTGTGACTCCCGCTTCGGCTTCACGTGGCACCCCCCGACATTCACCCTGTGGATGGGCAACGCCAGCGCTGGCGACGCGGGGCGGTACGTGTGCCTGGTCACGCTGGAGATCCCGGAGATTCTGAAGGCCGAGGGCAACGGGACCATACTGAATATCTCAGGTAGGAGGGCAGGGGAGCTGCCAGGCCAAAGGGGGGGAGCAACGGCAAGTCCCGGGGGAGCCAGGTCAGGGCTCAGCACAAACAGGAACAGCCCCGGATAAGTGTGTTTGTTTGGGGGGAGTGATCCTAAATGAATGGGGCAGCATCTAAAGCCTGCTCCCTTTAAGAAGGGGGCCTGTTTTTTAAAGCCCCCTGTGCTGCAAGGGCCCCTCTCCTCCCCCCGGCTGCACCCCAGAGCGCGGCACTGGACAGGGGTCCCTCCATCCCCCTCTCTGGCAGGATGTGAGGTTTCTCAGGGGCTGCTCTTCCGTTCTCATGTGCCACCCACGGCACGTCGGCAGCATGAGTTGCTGAAACCACAAGGCAAGACCGCCATCCTGCAGCTCCGTCAGCTGCCTCTCTCGCCCCACGGCAGGCTGCATGTCCCTCTGACGGGCCTTGTGGGCCCCCCTGCCCTGTGGCTTTGCGCCCTGCCGTCTTCCTGCCTCATCCCTGGGAGCCAGGCCCCCTTTCTCTGCCTGCTCGCCACACACGGCAGACTGTGTCTGTGCACACCTGCCAGGCCCCACGTGGCCACTCCCTGAGCACCCCCACCTCATCTTATGCCCGCTGCATCAGGGATACCATTTCAGATGGGGGCGTGATGGGAGGGGAAGCGAGTGAGCGCATGGGAGGGGTAGCTGAGGACAGAGGCGTCAGCAGACCCCCCCACACACACACACTTCATCTCTATCCAGGGGCTACTAAAGCACTGGAAAACTCTACTTTTTCGGCAGACAACTTAGCACGTAGCTGCCAGGAGCACTGTGACTAATTAACATAAGAACATAAGAATGGCCATACAAAGGTCCTTCCAGCCCAGTACCCTGTCTGTCGACAGTGGCCAATGCCAGGTGTCCCAGAGGGAGTGAACCGAACAGGTAATGATCAAGTGATCTCTCTCCTGCCATCCATCTCCACCCTGACAAACAGAGGCTAGGGACACCATTCCTTACCCATCCTGGCTAATAGCCATTAATGAGAGGGAGTGAACCGAACAGGTAATGATCAAGTGATCTCTCTCCTGCCATCCATCTCCACCCTGACAAACAGAGGCTAGGGACACCATTCCTTACCCATCCTGGCTAATAGCCATTAATGGACTTAACCTCCATGAATTTATTTAGTTCTTTTTTAAACCCTGTTATAGTCCTCGCCTTCACAGCCTCCTTAGGCAAGGAGTTCCACAGATTGATTATGCGCTGTGTGAAGGAGAACTTCCTTTCATTTGTTTTAATCCTACGGCCCTTTAATTTCATTTGGTGGCCCCTAGTTCTTATATGATAGGAAAAAGTAAATAACTTTTCCTTATTCACTTTCTCCACACCACTCATGATTTTATAGACCTCTATCTCTCTTAGTCTCCTCTTTCCCAAGCTGAAAAGTCCTAGTCTCTTTAATCTCTCCTCATTTAGGACCCGTTCCAAACCCTTAATAATTTTAGTTGCCCTTCTCTGAACCTTTTCTAATGCCAGTATATCTTTTTTGAGATGAGGAGACCACATCTGTACACAGTATTCAAGATGTGGGAGTACCATGGATTTATATAAGGGCAATAAGATATTCTCTGTCTTATTCTCTATCCATTTTTTAATAATTCCTAACGTCCTGTTTGCTTTTTTGACTGCCGTTGCACACTGCATGGACATTTTCAGAGAACTATCCATGATGACTCCAAGATCTCTTTCCTGATTAGTTGTAGCTAAATTAGCCCCCATCATACTGTACGTATAGTTGGGGTTATTTTTTCCAATGTGCATTACTTTTCATTTATCCACATTAAATTTCATTTGCCATTTTGTTGCCCAGTCACTTAGTTTGGCGAGATCTTTTTGAAGTTCTTCACAGTCTGCTTTGGTCTTAACTACCTTGAGCGGTTTAGATTCGTCTGCAAACTTTGCCACCTCACTGCTTACCCCTTTTTCTAGATCATTTATGAATAAGTTGAATAGGATTGGTCCTAGGACAGACCATTGGGGAACATCACTAGTTACCCCTCTCCATTCTGAAAATTTACCATTTATTCCTACCCTTTGTTTTCTGTCTTTTAACCAGTTCTCAATCCATGTAAGGATCTTCCTTCTTATCCCATGGCAACTCAATTTATGTAAGAGCCTTTGGTGAGGGACCTTGTCAAAGGCTTTCTGGAAATCTAAGTACACTATATCTACTGGATCCCCCTTGTCCACATGTTTGTTGTCCCCTTCAAAGAACTCTAATAGATTAGTAAGCCATGATTTCCCTTTACAGAAACCATGTTGACTTTTGCCGACCAATTATATTCTTCTACGTGCCTGACAATTTTATTCTTTACTATTGTTTCAACTAATTTGACGGGTACTGACGTTAGACTTACTGTCTGTAATTGCCGGGATCGCCTCTAGAGCCCTTTTAAAATATTGGCATTACATTAGCTATTTTCCAGTCATTGGCTACAGAAGCTGATTTAAAGGATCGGTTACAAACCATAGTTAATAGTTCTGCAATTTCACATTTGAGTTCTTTCAGAGCTCTTGGGTGAATGCCATCTGGTCCTGGTGACTTGTTACTGTTAAGTTTATCCATTAATTCCAAAACCTCCTCTAATGACACTTCAATCCGTGACGAGTCCTCAGATTTGTCACCTACAAAGGACGGGTCAGGTTTGGGAATCTCCCTAACATCCTCAGCTGTGAAGACTGAAGCAAACAATTCATTTAGTGTCTCCGCAATGACTTTATCGTCTTTAAGTTCTCCTTTTGTATCTCGATCATTCAGGGGCCCCACTGGTTGTTTAGCCGGCTTCCTGCTTCTGATGTATTTAAAAGACATTTTGTTATTACCTTTTGAGCTTTTGGCTAGCTGTTCTTCAAACTCCTTTTTGGCTTTTCTTATTACATTTTTACACTTCATTTGGCAGTGTTTATGTTCCTTTCTATTTTCCTTACTAGGATTTGACTTCCACTTTTTAAAAGTTGTCTTTTTATCTTTCATTGCTTCTTTTACATGGTTGTTAAGCCACAGTGACTCTTTTTTAGTTCTTTTATTTTGTTTTTTAATTTGGGGTATACATTTAAGTTGGGCCTCTATTATGGTGTCTTTGAAAAGTGTCCATGCAGCTTGCAGGGATTTTGCTCTAGTCACTGTACCTTTTAATTTCTGTTTAACTAACCTCCTCATTTTTGCATAGTTCCCTTTTCTGAAATTAAATGCCACAGTGTGGGGCTGCTGACGTGTTCTTCCCACCACAGGAATGTTAAATGTTATTATATTATGGTCACTATTTCCAACCCGTCCTGTTATAGTTACCTCTTAGACCAGATCCTGCGCTCCACTCAGGACTAAATCGAGAATTGCCTCTTCCCTTATGGATTCCTGTACCAGCTGCTCCAAGAAGCAGTCGTTTAAGGTATCAAGAAATTTTGTCTTTGCAATTCATCCTGAGGTGACATGTAGGCACTCAAAATGGGGATAATTGAAATCACCCACTATTATTGAGTTCTTTATTTGAATAGCTTCTCTAATCTCCCTTAGCATTTCATCGTCACTATCACTGTCCTGGTCACGTGATCGATAATAGATCCCTACTGTTATATTCTTATTAGAGCATGGAATTACTATTCATAGAGATTCTATGGAACATGTTGATTCATTGAAGATTTGTACTTCATTTGAGTCTAAATTTTCTTTCACATATAGTGCCACTCCTGCACCTGCACAACCTGCTCCCTCCTTCCGATATATTTTGTACCCTGGAATGATTGTGTCCCATGGATTGTCCTCACTCCATTAGTTAATTCCTATATAAAAGAAAGAAAATGAAATAAATATTAGACCCACTCAGCTCTAACGCTAATATATTCTGACATCTTGTGGCAAGTCCCTTAAAGCAATGATGCTCAACCTTTTTAAATTTGTGACCCACCGGGGCAGAAAAATTTTGGTTGACCAAAAAGAAAGCACCAACCGGAACATTTTGTTGTGGCCACTTTAATTTAAAGCAGCGATCTGCTCCCCTGCCACTCCCCCCACCCCCGCTGCGCGTACATCAGGTGCTGAGCCAGAAAAACAAAATGGCGGCTGGCCCGGCACTGAGACCCCCCAGGAAGACAGCCGCGACCCCCAAGGGGGTCACAACCCATGGGTTGCGCATTGCTGCCTTAAGGGATGACCAGATCTGCATACAGCATTCAAGATGTGGGCATACAATGATTTTATATAGTGGCAATATGGTATTTTGTCTTGTTATCTGTTCCTTTCCTAATGTTTCAGACTATTCCGTCAGCTTTTTCATTTTTAGATTGCCACTGCACATTGAGCAGATGTTTCCATAAGGATTCCAAGATCTCTTTCTTGAGTGGTACCAGCTATTTTACACCCCATCATTTTTGTATCTATAGTTGGGATTACATTTCACCATGTGCATTACTTTACATAAGAACATAAGAACATAAGAACGGCCGTACTGGGTCAGACCAAAGGTCCTTCTAGCCCAGTATCCTGTCTGCCGTCAGTGGCCAGCACCAGGTGCCCCAGAGAGGGTGGACCGAAGACAATGATCAAGCAATTTGTCTTCTGCCATCTCTCTCCAACCTCTGACAAACAGAGGTCAAGGACACCATTTTATCCCCTGACTAATAGCCTTTTATGGACCTAACCTCCATGAAATTATCTAGCTTCTTTTTAAACTCTATTATAGTCCTAGCCTTCACAGCCTCCTCTGGCAAGGAGTTCCACAGGTTGACTACACGCTGTGTAAAGAAGAACTTTATTTTATTAGTTTTAAACCTGCTACCCATTAATTTCATTTGGTGTCCTCTAGTTCTTCTATTTAGGGAACTAATAAATAACTTTTCTTTATCGGCCCTCTCCACACCACTCATGATTTTATAGACCTCTATCATATCCCCCCTCAGTCTCCTCTTTTCTAAACTGAAAAGTCCCAGTTGCTTTAACCTCTCCTCATATGGGACCCGTTCCAAATCCCTAATCATTTTAGTTGCCCTTTTCTGAACCCTTTCCAAGGCCAAAATATCTTTTTTGAGGTGAGGAGACCACATCTGTACACAGTATTCAAGATGTGGGCGTACCATAGTTTTATACAGGAGCAGCAAGATGTTCTGGGTCTTATTTTCTATCCCTTTCCTAATAATTCCTAGCATCCTATTTGCCTTTTTGACCACCGCTGCACATTGTGTGGAAGTTTTCAGAGAAATGTCCACGATAACGCCAAGATCTCTTTCCTGATTTGTCATAGCCCCCATCGTACTGTACGTATAGTTGGGGTTATTTTTCCCGATGTGCATTACTTTACATTTATCCACATTAAATTTCATTTGCCATTTTGTTGCCCAATCACTCAGTTTGGTGAGATCTTCTTGGAGTCCCTCACAGTCTGCTTCTGTCTTGACTATCCTAAACAGTTTGGTATCATCCGCAAACTTTGCCACCTCACTGCTTACCCCTTTCTCCAGATCATTTATGAATAAGTTGAATAGGATGGGTCCCAGGACTGACCCTTGGGGGACACCACTAGTTACCCCTCTCCAATCTGAAAATTTACCATTTACTTTGCCCTTATCAACACTGAAATCCATCTACCCTTGTGTGGTCCAGTCACCTAGTTTTGTGAGATCCCTTTGTAACTCTTTGCGGTCAGCTTTGGATGATTCCCTGTTTACCCCCTTTTCAAGATCATGTATAAGTTTAACACAGTGATCCAAATGCAGATCCCTGCAGCACAACACTCATTCCTACTCCTTTCCCCCCTTATCTTCTAAGTGGCGTACCCAGCAATGTTTTCACGATGATCGAACGTTCCTTCAGTGACAGGAGCGCTCAGCCTTTTGTTATTCTTAATGAACCCGCCTCCCTCTCTTATAACCAGCTCCCTGCCCCAACGGGAGAGCTGCAAGCAGCTCAAACTCTGTTGCATTTAAAACTGCCTCTGGAGCCAGGACCTGGGTTTGAAGCAGAACTCAAGTATGAAATCCAGGGGTTCCAACTTCAGGGGGGGCTCCCCCCTTAGCCTCCCATAAATGGCGTCCTTGCCCTGCATCCCATGTGCCCTAATCTGATACCCTGGGATGCCTGGTGTCCTCTGCCCTCTTCTCCTTACATGCCCAGCCCACACTGTGCTCTGCCCCCCGATACTGACCTGCCCCTGTGTTCTGCCCCCTTGGGTGCTTTCGTTGCTGTCACTGGGTTTTGTCCATAGTCTGAGGTCTCTGTCTCTGGTGGCATCCAGGCTCGTCTCTAAAAGGATTCAACTTAACAGGGCTCTTCCCCTGCCCTGCTTCCCAGCCAGGGGTCGCTGAGAAAACAGGCACCAAGCCTACTAGGGGAGTGGCTCCCAGTTTGGGGCTACCTGGAACCTGCAAACGATTTCCCCACTGGGCACCCAATTAAAAAGGAACACAGATGGCCTGGGTGCTAATGGCTGGCTGGTCCTCAATGAGCTCCCTGCAGCTCATTTGCCCCATCCCCAGCTGCCCAGCCCCCTCAGCATCCCACTGGGGCAGCGGGGGGAGGGGAAGTCAGCCAGCTCCAGCCTGGCATTGACGTCAGCCCGGCCCATAAGCTGGGCTCGCGCGCCGCTGCTGTCACGGCACGTCGCCATGGTGACTTCATTGGCCACAATGAATTTCTCGCTTCGCGTTGTTGCTGCAGAAATATCTGACGTGGTGGCACGTTCCCATCCAAAGCCAGTCTGGCTAATTTAACCCACACACCGAGCACGGGGGTGTCAAGCAGCTCGGGGCCTGGTCTAGGCGTAAGCCCCTCCTTGAATCACAGGCTGGTCTTCAAATAATGGCCACTGAGTTGCAGACAAAATTCGGGACGTGACGGAAAAATACGAATGGGCCTGTATTAATAGTGGCACAGACCTATTCGTTTTAGAAGAATTTGCCGGAGCGATAGAGACGCGCAAGGGTTCCATTATCCCTGCAAATGTCTTTGGGAACCAGACTTTTTTGCTGCAATTCCGCACATTCATTAAACAAAAACATGGAGGCACCAACACAAGATGAAACTCCAAAGGCTCGAGTCTCCCCACAGCTGCTGTGGAACTGGAGGTCAATCACCGGAGCCTTTTCCGTGTTGCTGGCGTTGAGTGGCCGTGCAGCGCTCATGGCTCCCTCCACACGGCTGAACACTGCGCCGAGCTACGTACGCTAACTCAGACCCAAGTGGCGGGGGGGGGAGGGGGAGTGAGGAAGGGCCTGTCTCAGGGGAAGCCGCCCAGTGACGTGTGTTTATTTCTCTCTTCAGTGGCAGGAGAAGCTGGTGCTCTGAGGAATCTCATCGGAGGTGAGCGGCGTTAAACCTGTAGGATAACACCCATCACACCCACCCAGGCCTCCTGCTGGGGGTCACGTTCCTCCAGGCCGCCCCGGCCTTGCCCCTCCGTGGGACCCTGCTCACACCCACCCAAAGCTCTCCGTGGCCTCCTGATCTTTCCCAGCTACACATGGGCCAGGGTCAGAGCACCTGGGCCAGGCCCTTACTTGATCTAGGAACATCGCTTTGGCCTCCAAAGTCGGGAGTCCCCTGTCTGCTCCCCCCTGGCCCAGCCCCGGGCGGTTCCCATGGCAATGAGAGAGAGCATCCCCCCAGAACATGGTGCCTCAGCCAGGAGCCACTGCTGCCATCGAGGCATGAGACCAGGCCCGCACCTCCCCTCGGATGGGGCTGCCTGTCTCCAGGAGCAGGTGCAGGGGGTGTGTGTGTGGGGGGGGCACCCTGCTTCAGGGCGGAGGCTGATGGCTCTGCCCTGCTGTTTCAGATCCAGTGTTCTGGCTGGGACTGGCTGGCGGCCTGACCGTAGTTGGGCTGCTGCCTGCTGTGATCTGCTGTTACAAACACAAGTGCAGAAATCCAGGTAACGGAGCCCCCCGGAGACGGAGCGGGGACCCTGCACTCACAGGGGCGAGCTGGCGGAGAGACCGCCAGGCTGGGGGAGGAGGGGGGAGGACCCCAAGGATCCGGGACTGCGATGAGCACCCCTGTGTCTGCGGGAGATACCTGGGCAGATCCCAGCTGTTCTTCCTACACCACTGGGCGATGCTGCCCTCGGGCCGCTGCAGACTGCCGGGACTGTTGAAAAAGCCGTGTCCAGGGGAGCCGGCAAGAGGGCGGCTGGATAAATTCAGATCCACCTTCTCTTCTTTTGCGCCTGCTTGGTACATCAGCTTCCTGCAGCCCTCCCTCTTTCTGCGGTGCAGCTGGTGCAAAGCATGCAGGGGTGAGCTGGGGTCTGCCTGGCTGGGGGGATGCTGCTCTTCCTTGAGGCAGGATCCCAGGGGACCCAGTACGGCCGCTAGAGGGACACCCTGCCCCACAGTTATTAAAAGCCGTAGGGTGTATTTACCAACAGTGGAAAGCAGCCGTTCGCCCCGGGTATCTTGTGCTGGTTCCATTCTGCTTCTTGAAAATCCCCCCACACACACACACTCCTCCAGCTCATCCAGATACAAGAGCCTTTTCCCTGTCCAAAGTGGCCATGTAGTGTTGCAGCTTGTCCCGCCCCACGCTGGGCTGCCTTCGAGGGGGCAGGAGAATTCATTCCTGTCTGTAGTATTTGTGAATAAGTCTGAAGCTCCTCCAGGAGGGAAAACCTTGGGGTCCTGGAAGATCATTTCCTTTTCACACAGCGCATAGTCAACCTGTGGAACTCCTTGCCAGAGGAGACAGTGAAGGCTAGAACTATTACAGAGTTTAAAAAGAAGCTAGATAATTTCATGGACAGGGCTCGACAAATAATGTAATCTACTCACCCGTGGCGAGTAGATTACAACCCGGAAGAGCTGGCAGAGAGAGATCTGCGCATGTGCAGAGTGCAGAACCATGTGACTGGCGAGCAGGGCTCACCACCGCTTGACGAGCCCTGTTCATGGAGGTTAGGTCCATAAAAGGCTATTAGCCAGGGGATAGAATTGGTGTCCCTGGCCTCTGTTTGTCAGAGGCTGGAGAGGGGTGGTACGAGACAAATCTCTTGATCATTGTCTTTGGTCCTCCCCCTCTGGGGCACCTGGTGCTGGCCACTGTCGGCAGACAGGATACTGGGCTAGAAGGACCTTTGGTCTGACCCAGTACGGCCATTCTTATGTTCTCATGTTCTTATGTTTGGCTCTGGCTGGGGCCTGGCTGGGTGGTTTCCAATAGGAGGAGAGATTGAGGATACGAGTCAGGTATCTCTTTGGTGTCCACAAAGCCCTGTTTCCTGAACACAGGAGGAAAAAAACACCGCCACGCAGGTCGCTTGCTCATAGAAGCATAGAAACATAGAACACTAGAACTGGAAGGGATCTCACGAGATCATCAAGTCCAGTCCCCTGCCGTCACGGCAGGACCAAGCACTGTCTGTATCATCCTTGAATAGATGTCTGTCTAACCTGCCTTTAAATATCTCCAATGATAGAGATACCACAACCTCCCTAGGTAATTTATGCCAGTGTTTCACCACCCTGACAGAAAGTTTTTCCTAATGTCCCTTGCTGAAGTTTAAGCCCCTTGCTTCTTGTCCTATTCTCAGAGGCCAAGGAGAACAATTTTCCCCCCTCCTCTCTGGCTACGTCTAGACAGCAAGCCTCTTTCGAAAAAGAGCATCTAGATGACAGCCAGTACTTTCGAACAAACAAGCCACAGTCCGGATGCTCTCTTTCGAAAAAGCACAGTTTGCATGACATAGCGCCTTTTTTCATAAGAGCACTTTCGAAAAAAGGTGTAATTCCTTGTCAAACGAGGTTTTCCATAGTCGAAAAAACTGCCATGTTCTTTCGATTTACTTTCGAAAGAATGTGGCAGCAGTCTAGACGCAGGGGACGTTTTTTCGAAAAAAGGCCACTTTTTTTTTAAAAAAAAACCCTGTAGTCTAGACACACCCCTTTTAGATACCTAAGCTAGCCTTGCCAAATGTCCTATGCCCCATGGAGGCCTCTCAATGCCATGCTCACAACATCTTCTCTTGATCGCTGCTGTCTTGTGGCCTCTCTCGCATACACAGCTTACCAAGCAATCTCCTGGTCCCTCTGTTTGCACCCTGTCCCAGGGAAACGCCTCAGACCACAAGGCTTAGCTCTGCACAGGAGCTGCCATGTGGTCGATTGCCTTGGGTGGTGGCTTCTACCTCCAGCTCTCTCACTCCGCAAAAGGGCTTCATTGCTCCTTCCTGTGAGGCTGCAGGAAGAATGCTTAGCACATGCAGTGGCTTTGTCACCGTCCATGTTTGACAGCCGCCATTAATGCTTCCTGTCATAACATCTGCTTGGAATCCAGGGCAGCAAATCTACGTGAACGTACTGTACCGCCAAAAGCAAGCAGAGAAGAAAGCTGGTGACCAAGCCCAAAGCAAGATGAAGCAGAGCAGCATCTACACCCTGGAGTTCCAGGGTGGGGGTCACAGCCACAAGCCTCCAGTTGCGGGACGGAGCCCTATTCCCACGAAAGCTCCCAAGCAAGCTTCCTCCTTCCAGCAAAGGGCAACAAAAAGGCCATGAAGAGCTGCACAGAGCTGCCCTCTCTGCTTCTGTGATCCCCTCTCCACGCGGATCTTGGACCTGCCTCTCACTTGGGTTAATGCTGCCCCCGTGCTCCGGGAGAGATCCAAGTGGAGGGACTGAGAGGCACTGGGAAGCCAAGAGGTGGAATTGCAAAGAGGAAAGTGTTTGGTTTGTTTGCTATGGCCGGGGGAAGAGCAAGTGCAGAGTTGGGGGAGAGGCCAGGAAGGGGAGAGCATTGAATTCAAATCCTCGTCTCCAAAATATACATCTGGGCCTCGGAGCCTTAAAACCCCACCTCTCCTCTGTCAAGGGAGCACAGGGACTTTCCCCCATGTCCAACGTTACCTCTAATCTTTTCCATCCATGTGAAAATTTTTCCATCTGTGTGGAATAAATTTTATGTGCACAAATGCACATGTGAATGTGCACCATCCGCCGTGGGCACTCTGCTAATCAGCTGGGAGGCATCTGGCTCTCTCCTGAGTGGCCGCACACATGCACAGCTTACAGGGAGCACTGCCCCGTATCCTCTGGGCCCTTGTGTGGGAGTCACCCTGCAAGAGAGGGAAACCCTACTGGCCAAGAGGAAATCGGTGCATGCAATCCTGCCTCTGTGGAAGTTAATGGAAAGTTCCTAGCGAGCTAACTAGGGACCAGGCCCATGTCTGCCTCTCCCTGGTAGCAAGTGAGGTGCCAGACATGAGGGCACGGTGGTGCTGTGGTCCATCTCAACACTGCTCCTCCGTCCTCTTGACATCTGGCATTTGACAGCCACCTGCTAGCGCGGACCTGCTGGGCTGATGGATAACATGGGTACCGCTTCTCATTCAGCCCCACAGCTTGGTGGGGAGTTGGTCCTATCACCCAGGGGGGTAGGAGAGCCCTCTCAAGATGGGGACTACCTGGGTTGCCCAATTAAGGGTTCAGGCTCCAGGAATTGCCTCTCTTGGGCCTCATGTCTCTCCCCTGCCGGACTGGGGCTTTTAAGCTGCACGGTTCCCCGTGATGTCCCAGCAAGCTGGTCCACTTGAAGGCCGGCACCCGGACTTTGCTTTCTCCCTGAGGGGCCAGCAGTTATAAGTCACCCTCCCCCCCAGTTCTACTTAGTTCTTCAGGCAAAGGCATGTCTGAGTGAACAGAGAAACGTCTTATGGGGCCCCAGAAGGTCGTTCCACAAGGGACTCTGGGACAGAGGTGCCTGTCCTTGGGCTGGCTCAGCAAGACGGCCCTGAGGCAGTTTAAACCCAAAAGCCCTTGCTTTGCTGAGATCTGGAAAAACCAGTTGAACCAGTCCATGCCAGCTGTGTGCGTGCGTGAGCGAGCGTGCAGCACGTCTCTGGAGGTGTTTGTAACCCCCGTGATTCACAGTCTCCTTTCCCGGCCTGGCAGAGCTGTGGCCACCGCCCCCTGCAACTGCTGCCATGCTAGGTTAAGGAGGTTTTTGTTCTGTGGCATGATCTTTCATGAACAGTCTTTCATTCCAGAGCCTCTAGGACAATCCCGGAGGCCAGGCAACCCTGCTTTGGCCTGGCACATACCCCAGTCATACATGTAACGCAATATGGTCTCCAAAGATCACATGTGCAGGTGCAATATGTCCCACATTTTACAGGTAAAAAGCACGTAGCAAGGAAATATTTGTAAATA